CCAACGGGTGAGATGTAGCTACCCAAATAACAAAACTTATCCACCTGCTCTATTACTTCTCCAGTAAGAGTGAGGCTGGGTGCTGGACGAACCCACTTTTGTAGCAACATTTTACACTTTGAAGGTGCAAAACGCATACCGAGCATGGCTACACTAGCACTCAAACTTTCCAGAAAAGCTTGCAACTTACCTGGATCTTCACTAAGTAGCACAATGTCGTCTGCGTACTCTAGATCAGACAGTCTGCCACCTGGAAGTAAATCGATGCCACTATCCTCGCACGAGGATAGGGCTGTTTCCATAATCAGATATATAACAACGTTAAATAGAAATGGAGAAAGAGGATAACCCTGACGAACACCACTTTCCGTGGTGAACTTGGGCGAAAAAGTGCCGTAAGCTCGGATTCGGCTTCCGTTATTAGTATAAAGCGAACGTAATATTGAAACTAACTTCTCGGGCACACCTTTCAGAAAAGAGCAGCGCCAGAGTTTAGAGCGGTCGACTGAGTCGGAAGCCGCTTTCAGGTCGAGGAAGATGGAAATGGTGGGTCTACGAAAAGTGTTTGTGTCCTAGGACTTGACGAAGAGTAAAGATGTGGTCGATACAACCTCGAGTGGGTCTAAAACCAGCCTGGTTCTCACGCGTGCACCGTTCGCGTGCGGCAGACAATCGGCGGAGTATGAATGAAAACCCTAACCAGGTCACTGGGTCATATAGGTCCCGTTAATCTCCTTGGCTGGGGATCCCGAGATAGAGTCTAGTCAAGTAAAGCTAAATGCACCCAATAGAATGAATTTTCAGCATTTTCGACAGGTTACTTTGAGGAAAGCGGTAAACATTGGAAAAAGAAGAAATGTACATTTACTGAAGGAAAAACAAATGAACGTGATGAAATCGTAATGTGATAGATGATTAATCAAGTCAGTAATATGGTAATAATAATAATATAATATTTGCTCGGTTTACCAAGATACGAACAAAATGAGGGATGATGCTGTTTTTGTATGTTGTGGTGCTTGCACAAAGAATCCTAAATTTTGAACGCGTACTCGGACGAGACACCAATTTATTGAGATGGGCATGCAGGCAGTGTTCTTCATTTGGCAGTATTTGGCTGATAAATCTGTCACGTGAATCAAAATGCTTACTCACAATAAAGGCAACCAAAACGGTCTTTGAAATACCACTGCACAATCATCAATGGTTAGAGACAGCGATATGGCTGGGTGTCGCAAACAGTGGCGCTCATGTACCTAGTCTTTACTCTCGTAATACCACTCTATATGAATTCTGTATCTTTCGATGAGTTTTGCTTTCAGTATTGAAATCTTTTTTCCGCTTTTTTATTCAAATGTGGCACGAAAGTGCATGGTTAATGGTTGTAAAAACGGAAATGGGGTACCTCATAGAACATCACTCCTCTATCGCTTTTCTTACCACGCAACACTCATCAACATTTTAATCAGCAACCCCCACCACCACACCTCTACACTATCATTTCATTGAACCTTTGGCGACTCACCTCCTCCACGACTCTACCATTGACTAACGCTAGCCTTCTTACACTCGCTTGCTCTGATTACTCATCTCTGTCTTCGTCACCAAACAGAGCTGGAATCCGACAATCAAATCTCCGTATTATTATTGTCTTATCTATTGAACCGCCTGATGCGAGATGTCGAAAATAAAGTTCTTCGTGAACACTTTTTCTTCAATTTCTACGGGCATATTTTGTCCACCAAATCTGAAAACTGTGCTGTTGTAAAAGGGCTGTTTTGTCGTCGTATATATGCTTTTTCTTTTTGGATTTCTCACTGTTTAATGAATGTCTTTCTATAGCGTTTTCTCTCTCTCTCCCTGTTTCAGTCACACAATGTGATTACAGTGTACATCACCCCACGTCAAGCCAAAATGGGACCAATGCCTGCTGGTTCTCATGCATTACTGGAGTGCCTTTTCTCATATTTTACTTTCCCTTCCTAATTGTGGTTGCATTTATCTTAACACACTTTTTTGATTTGCATGCTTTTACCTTTGTCGCAAAGTGGAAAATAAACTCATCTCATTTAAAAACGTTTCGTCCGTTCCCTCCCTGTATTGGTTGTTTTTCTATGCTAGTCACGATGTGCATCAGCATCTTCTTCCCTCGTAACGTCTGTCGACAGAACGAACCGAACTACTGTGACCATAATCGGGTCAGACGAATCAGTTCATCGGGAGAATGAATGTTGCTTATAACTACGTTATATTGAATTTTCGAACGTAGGCCTTG